TAAAGGTAAAGTGGAGGATCATCAAAATAAGTGGTCCTCCTAATTGTCAATCATTCTGTTGATATGTTTACATAAGGCCAGATTGTCCTGATGTTCACTTACACAGGTGATGAGTCTGACATAGTGAACAAATTGTGAGCTTGTATAAGTGATGCAAACAGCAACATTTAAACAGAGCGTTTAAATCAGGGATGTCAAACTGTTTCCAGAAAGTTTTCTTTCCAACCAAGTAATAGAACACAAGACTCCAGTCATCTCATTAAGTGAGTCCAATCTGAACATGATGACTTGATGAGATGAATGGAGTCTGGTGTGCTATTGTTTGGTTGGAAAGAAAACCTGCAGCCACGTGGCCCTTTCTGGAATCAGTTTGACACCCCTGGTTTAATGTAAACACACATTGAATACTGTTTCCTCTCGGGAGCGGGTACAGGATTGTGCGTGTGGAAAAGTTTTTTTTCCTGAAAATCTTTCACCATACCTTTGAAGTTGCTGGTGAAGATTCCATTGAAAGTTCCAGCTTTCAACAACCTACAATGCAGCGATAGAGTTAATTCCTTTCTGCCATGATCTCAATTCCCACCCCCATATAGGGGACCAAAACATCTCGCCTGGTCAGCCAGGCCAAAACAAGGCCCCTGTTTCAGAGGCATAGACAAGTATTGGGTTTTGCAGGCTAACAAAGATCCCAAACAATTCCCGATTCCTAAGGGGCAGAACCGTTCGTCCGTTTCAATTTGCATGTTTTCTAAACAAAACAAGGCTTTGTTTGGACCACTCTATAACGCCACGAACTAATTGCTTATTCTGACATTTTGAACAGAAAAAGCTTCCTTGATGGGAAGCGAAATGTCTTCCAACTTGGAAACAAAGTCCAGTGGATTGTTTTTTAACGTTTATTGATTCTATGTTTACTCTCTGTTGAATCAGTTTATCAAAGAGGCTCCTTGCAGTTATCTGTTATATATCTGTAGCATTTCTTACACCCAAACCTGTCCCTGGTTCATTTAAAGCTTTTTTATTCTTCACATTTTTTACAATTGTATGTGGCTTCTTTGTGAATTTGTATCTGTTTCCTGGTAGCAGTTGTATGCATGAGCATTACTCATGCATAACACAAAATGAGCACATATAAAAATCATTATTTCTGTTGTGAGATGAACAAGCCATTTAATCTGTCATTTCTTATATAAATGCTTCCATATTTTCACAAAACTTCACATAGTACTCCTTTAGTTTGAGGAACTGAACAGTAAGGTGATTTAAGCTCTGCAATCTTTACAGTCTCAAATCAGACAAACATACATCCTTTACTCTTACTATCTGTAATCCATCAGGGTGGAATCCCACTACTCTGCATTCACCCTCAGCAGTCCCACCGCAATAAAGTTTATTAAATTTGCAGATGATACATTGCTGATGGGATTGATTTGTGGAGGGGAATAGACAGTGAACAGGAAAGTCATGATTTTACTAAAGTTCAGACCCAAATGCTGAAGACCAAACAGGGAGACCAGGAGAAAAGGTTTAACAGGTTTTATTGAAGAGATAATGCAGAGAGAGTGTTGCTCTGAACACTGCTCAATCGGAACTAAAAAGTGAGGGGAAGACACAGCGATAAGTTCAGGCTCAGTGGAAAATTTGATCCGTGAACTTGCAGAAGAGGATCTGGTTGCTGACTGACGTTTACAGAGAAGTTGTTGAATCTTTGACTCCAGTCTGTATGCTGTTGTTCCAGTGTTTGTCTGATTCGGTGGAGGGCGGAACAGGGTCTACCCAGAATGTGGTTGTTTGTAGGTGAACGGAGAAGCTGGCTGCCACTCAGATTTCCTGCGGTACTTGAACGGGTCTAGTGGAGATGAATCCCTTTCTCAGTGTGAAGCCCAGAGGATCTCTTGAGGAAAGTGGATCCAAACCTCCTGTTTGTAACCTCAGCTCAGCTTTAAGCTCTGTTGATCCTTCCAGGGAGAGAAGGTCAGAAAAATCTAGTTTGCAGGATGACTTCCCAAAACTGGCAAACACTCTGGCGTTGAGGTAGTGGCAGTCAGCAGCTTAAGAACACTCCGTTAACGAGAAAAACCATCAGCAGGTGTGTGAGGAGGCGGACCAGAACCAGGCGCCTCCTAGTGGAGGTAGGGAGACAAACACAGAAACACAAACACACAGACAGGAGTCCTGACAGAAAGGAGGTTCAGGGGCTGACTTCATGGTGCAGACACAACAACCTGGTCACACACACACAAAAAAAAGCTCATTATTAAATTTAGAGCATCAGCCTCTTGAAGTTAATGTGGAAGCGGTTTAGAGACTGGGAAAATTCAGATACCTTGGCACCAGGATTGGTCATCCTTTGAATATGAATAATTCCGGCGCCAATTCTGATTCCTCGTTATGATTCCAATTTCTTTCTATTCTAAATTCAAATTATTTAAAGTTTAGATGTTTTATAGATAGCATTGCATGACATACCGGATATCACAGCTATCAACCAGGTGAGAGCCCTCTTACCTGACCCCCGAGGGTCCAAACCCCATATGAGCCCTGTCCCTGAGTGGTCCAACCCAAGAGTCCATAGGGTTTAGGTCTCATGGGGATGTGGAAGAGAGTCCAGCCGGCTCCCCTGCAAGGATGGGGCAAAACACTCCAATATTCCAAACCCGCTCCCAATGCCAGGAACCGGGATCCCCCATGCCAGCAGACAGACATAAACTCGAAGAAATTACATTTCTTCACCATCTAACTTTGTGTAAATAATTTAAATCAACACATAGTTATTTTCAACTAGTATATAAATATTCAACCTATGAAATGTAGTATAAATCATATAAACTTTTTTTTACAGAGGTACACTGAGTTTTCACATGGATCTTTCTTTTTGAAAGCCTGATTAAAATCCTGTAAAACCTGATTAAAAGTCAGTTATTTGTATTTACCTGATTCTGACTGTGGTTCTAGGCTGAATGTTGGAGCTGAAGGAAAAAAGCAGAGCAGCAGGTAGGTATCCCTACAGAATCTATATCCTTATTGTTGATAACTATTAAAAAGCCATGTGCTTTTTCTATCTCAAAGACACATCACATCCACTCAACTTGACCTGGAAGTAGAAAATACATTTTCTAAGGGATTATCTAATGAGAAGCTGTGGCAAACACTGGGCATTTTTCTAGTTAAGGTCTTAAAACGCAGTATGATTAATTCATTAATGGATCATAAAAGAGAAGAATCCACAGAATCTATTCATCTATTAAGAAACCTGATCTATTTTTAGATTTATTACACCTGGCAGCTTGATTAAATTTTGTTATTACAATGCAGCTTGTTTATTTCACACATCTAGATTACAGTCCTAAGAAGCGTTTTGTTTGGCCTCTGAGCACTCAATTCAGAGACTGGAATTCAGTGTATAAAGTAGGGGTCTGCAACTTTTTGTTTCAAAGCTGCAAGTGGCTTTTTGGACCCTCTGCCATTGCTCTTGAAAAATAAGAACTAAAACAATTATATTGTTATATTATATTGTTAAATATATCTTTGATATAGTATTCCGTATTTTAGAAATTACCATTCTGGAATTACCATTACCAAGGTTCTCAGGACTCAGAACAGAGGTCCTAATATTCAAGGCAAGACAGACCGTGGGATAATTCAAAAAGCATGTGTTAAATAAACAGGCTGTGGATCTGCGGTAGCAGATGGTAGGGCTTCTAAGGAAGGAAAATCTGGAGAGAGGAAACACAGGTTAGTGACCACATTAACCTGACGGAGGATGCATATATATATATATATATTAGAGATGGAACGGTTTATGAAAACCGTCCGAACCGTTTGGTTCGACTGTCTCGGTTCGATTCGCATGTGTTGCGTTTGGTTCATGCGCTGCTCCTTTTTCTCATAGGTGAAGCGTGTACACTCCAGAGCTGAAGGTGGCGGTACTGCGACCAAAGCCAACCACCAGTAGTAAACAAGAAGAAGAAGAAGAAGCGAACCAGCGTAGCCAGGTGTAGCAGAAACAAATCAGTTGTTGTGGAGAATTGTGTAGGTATGGCGAGTGGGAAAGGACAGGAGTTGGAAGACGCGCCAGCAGCACCTTATAGGTCTGCTGTATGGGAGTGCTTTGCATTTGACCTACGATGACGGCGGAATGTATATATATATATATCTATATAGATATATATATATACACCGGTATATAAATATATATATCTATATATATCTATATATATATATATAGATATATATATATATATACGTAGTGTAATATTTTGATATGGCTGGAGCCATGGATATCTCCTCATTTACAAACCTGCACGATGTAATGATATGATGGTGTGGCATGCTGGAGTTGTATAAACTTCTTAAACTGTGATTCAAGTCCGGCTTCATTGAGAAGAGAGCCTGGTTGCTAAGCACTTCCATCAGAGACGCTAAGCAATTTCTCCACTCTGAATAAGATTACAATTTCTGTCAAAATCTGTTGTCATATCTCATGGCTATTTAAATATACATCATACAATGTTATTTAAAGAGTTTCTCCCATGTGATCTCTTCTTTGAAAGAAACAGGGGACAAAACTTAAAGGTGTAAACACAGAGCAGAGTGTACTTATTTCAACATTTTAGTCAAAGTTTCCAATATAAATCATTTTAGCCACATTTTGTTACAATTTCACATTTGCCCTGAAACTGAGATTGAACTTCAGCTGATCTTTAACCTGATATATATTAAAGTGTAAATTCTGTTGAATCTTTATTTCTGAGAAATGTATCCTAAAACAAGAGTTCTCCAGTCACAGAAAAAAAAAAATTCAGAAAAATAATAAAAACAAAGTGAAAGTAAAAAGAATTTCAGCCAGCACTTTTTCTTACAATTGTCGCTGTGCAGCAACATGTTACAAGAGGACTTGATATTTTTAAAGAACCCACTGTCCACACCCACACCTACTAGTTTGCTCCACCTTTGATCTGAAACAGAATGTCTGTTGCATTTCACTCTTATTCAGAATCAGATAAAAAGAACACCCTGGTTGTTTTGAATCCTGAATATCTTTCAAGGCATTTCGCAAATCCAACAGAAGGTGAGAAATTCTAAAACATTCAGATTAAGAGAAGCATTAAAGGAAATTATATAGGAGTACATCACAGAAGAACATGTTCCAATAAAGCTAGTTTGACAAATAATAAGTGCCTGTTTGAAATAACTATCATGTAACACCTATAAAAAGACTTGATTAAGGCTGCCCTATTTTTTATTAAAATATTTTCTAATGTAAAATTCTAGTCTATAAATGTGTTTTCAATAGCATTAAACTAAAAATGAGGATATGATGGTTGTAATTAGTGATTTTTTAACAACTGCATTTTAGTAAGAAACACTTGTATACTGCATGTCTTTACTTACATTGATATAAGATACAACAGGTACAAATTATTGCAAATATTTTCATGGATTATATTTGATCATTAAGTAATTTATATATAATTTTAAAAGAACAATGGTCATGTTGTAGCTCTCTGGAGCAAATTATTTTGCCTCTTATAGTCTGTAAAAATGTCAATAGGAAAGTATTGAGATGATAAACTCTTTCAGAAAATGGTTATAACATATGTCTTAGGCTGCTTTGGATATTTCTTTGTGTGTACTTTGAAACAAAAAATACGGATTGTTCCTTTTATACATTGGCAGCAGCTTACCCCTATCAACTGGTTTTCACCATAGACCATCAGACTTTAATTATAAGGAACTGTGGGTATCAAACTAGTGTTTTTACCTTAGGTAGACTAGATTAAAAGAAGTTGGCTTATTGATTAGCTTGGTGGTTAATTAATAAGCCACAGTAGGATCCTTGCATCAGTCGGATCATTATTCTTTATCAGAACAGCTATTTCTTTTATTTAGGTGAAAGAATCTCTTAGAGGGAGAGTTTGAAATAAGCTGTCCATGTTGGTTTTGTGCTTACGAGAGTTTTTATATTTCTTTGTAATGGAATTTCTTGGTGATTTGGTGATTATTTATTGACAGCTTTAACTAAAGATTAAATACCCCCTTTTATAGATTTTATTTAAAAAAAATGTTTCCATTAATATCTCTTTCAACTCACTTTTATGTTGTTCTACCACATGAAACCATGATGTGATACACTAAAATGAGTAATTATGATGTAAAAAAAATTAATTAAATTTTTTAAAATGATAATACATTAATAACACACAATCTAACAATCTATTGTTTTGAGATGGCACTCTTACTTTCAGTGTGGTGTTTAGTAAACAAAAAGATGTTTTGGAAAGAAATCATGCATTACTAAAAATCTATCCAACCTGTCTGACAACTTTGCTTGAATTCTTCCATGTAGCACGCAAGCCCTCTTAAGCAGTTACAGTAACAAGCTTGGTTTCACATTGCCGCAACACTTTTTCTACTGAAAGGCTTTAAAAAACTTTTGGTGAGATTCAATATGACATAGTTAAGTTAATTACAGTATTTATTTTTTTATTTTTTGACAGATAAAATGAAAAAAGAAGAGGGCAAGAACCCACATATTCAACTTCCTCCAAATATCACCTTACATCCTGGTTCCCCTTTGGGAAACAATTTGGATATCAATCTCCCTGCACCTGAGCGTCAGCCTGCATCCCAAACTGTGGATAAGGGCTATAACCAGCCTGGTGCTCAGCAGTATCAACAACCTGTTGGTCAATATCCTCAGCAGCAACATCCTCAGCCTATTCCTCATCAGCAATATCCCCAGCACATACCTCAGCAATACCCACAGCCTCCTGTTGAACCTGGTCGCCAACCTGTTGGCCAGCAAAATCCTCAACAGCCATATCCACAGCCTATTGCTCAGCAAAATCCTCAACAGCCATATCCACAGCCTATTGCTCAGCAACATCCTCAACAGCCATATCCACAGCCTATTGCTCAGCAACATCCTCAACAGCCATATCCACAGCCTATTGCTCAGCAATATCTTCAACAGCCATGTCCTCAGTCTTTTGTCCAGCCTTCTAACCAACCTGTCAATCAACAATATCCGCAGCCTGGTAAGAGATCAGAGACCGTTTTCAATGTAACTTATATTGAAAATTATTCTTTTTTTTCCCCCTTTTAAAGACATGTCAGGCCATTTCCTAGTTTTATGATTTTCCCATTATATATACACAAGAGGCTTGTGATGAGTTCTTAAATCAGTTACTTGTTAAGTGTTTTCTCTGTTTAGCTCAACAACCAGTTATACAGTGCAATCCACAACAAAACCAGATTGTTCAGAACGGTGAGTGACTTTGTTTAATTTTGTACAATCAATAATAATTTGTTTGTTTATGTTTAAAATATTAAAATATAAAACACCAGTAATATTATTTCAATAAAGTATTAAACACATCAAAATTTTTCATGGTAAACATAATTATAAAGCTGCTATTGACATGAAATACTCACCAGGTGCAAGTAACACCCGATTTAGTCTGTGGATAGAAAGAAGCCAAAATAATAAGAAAAAAGAATTAAGTTAATGGTAATAATGTGAAATGACACAGAAGAAAGTACTGAACCTGCTCACTGATACTGTACATATTTAATACTTTGTACAAAAGCCTCTGTTGGTAATGACAGCTTCAAGACTCTTCAAGTATGGAGAAATTAGCCCCATTCACAAGGTGCAATTTTGAACCATTCCTTCACATAAGCAGTCTTTAAATCTGAAGGGTTCTTTGGGGTTCTTCTAGGAACTCTTATTTTGGTGAATTCCTTAAAGTTTAAAAAGGACTAAAGTGAAGTGATTGACTGGGCTACTCTAGAACTTCACTGACGGTATGGTGTTTTTGTGGTGCATTTTGTCCTCCAAAGAGAGTCTTTGTCATGCCATCTAAAGAGTATATTGCTCTTACCTGACTAAACTATGTTCTTTCAGTTTTGTACAGGCTTGTTATAATGTGGTTCAGCATCCTTTTCCTTTAAAACTGGAGTCTGTTGGGAGCTGGAGAAGTTCCACCTTCTCCAGCAGAGTCCGCCGTGGATCCTTCTGAGGGAGCCTCCTGCACAGCTGCAGCCCATCGAGATCATCAGAGGATCCACTATATAAGTTGTCTTCAGACCTTGCCTCAACGCCGCAGTGTTGATCCAGTTGGTCAGCGCCTAAGCCTAGATTCTCTGAGAAACTTTGTGACTTTGTATCCAGCCTGGATTCTAATCGTTGTCTCTGTCTTCCAGGAAACCTGTGTCTCCTTCGTGAAGCTCAGGAAGAGCTAACCTGCCGAGCCGACCCTCTGAGCCAAACCTGAAGAATCATAGAGAACTTCCATGCAGCTCAGGACAAGAGCTGGAAAACCCTAAGCCAAGGTCTGTTCATTATAAGACGTGAGACGCTGAAGCAGCAAGCGGACTCTGCTGATGAACTCCTCTCCAGATCCAACAGTGACTCTCCCAAAGCTAACCACAAGAACCCTCAAGGTACAATCAGTTATCTTCAAGAAAATCAAGCTTCAGCTTGCAACGCTAACTGAACTGTCTCCCACGCAGACTCCGGTGAACCAGTGTCCAGGCCCGAGCCAGAACCAGTACATTCTGTGTGTTTGCACTCAAATAAACTTATTGAACTTTTATCCTTGTGTCCATCAGTGGTGTTCTGCATACTTGGGTCGCTCTTAGTGAACCCATCATGACAGAACACTGCGGCCAAACTCAAGGCCCAGCAGAACATCTCCGTCAACTATTGGAGGAGCGGGATGCCCAAATCCACAGACAAGTTCAAGCTCTGAGTGAGTTAAACACCCGCATAGAATTTCAGGATCATGTTGTCCGGAACTTCACCAGTCGTTTGAACGATGCTAATGCTACACCAGTACCTCAACCATTTCCGGGTCCAGTTCCACCTCCGAGGTCACCAGCTGTGACGTCATCCGAGTTCCGCCCAAATCTTCCAGAAAGATTTTCTGGTAACATGAAAGATTGCAAAGGATTTTTATTTCAGTGTCGGTTGATTTTTCTGAACTCTCCAGGCAGCTTTTCCACGGATTACAAAAAAATAACCTTCATCCTTTCTCTGCTAACAGGAAGAGCCTTGGAGTGGGCTCAGGCTAGATTTGCCACCGACGATAGCCTTAATTGCTATTACTCTGATTTCCTCTCTGAATTTACTCAGGTATTCAACCAAGAGACAGATCAAACCATTGACTCTCGAGCTCTGTTTAATCTTAATCAGGGAAATTCTTCCGTGGCTGAATTCTCCATCAACTTCCGGGTTAAAGCGGCAGCTTCCGGATGGAATCAAAGCGCTCTGAAGGCAGCCTTTTTCATGGCTTTAAATGATCACATTAAGGATGAACTTGCTACCCTCGACGAACCTGCTACCCTCGAAGATTTAATTCGTCTTACCATTAGACTGGACAATAGAATCCGTGCCAGAAACAGTTCTAAAAAGCAGGGGACACTTTTTCCTGCCGCACATAATGTGACTGTTTGTTCTTCCTCTACAGAGCAGCTGCCCATTCAGAGACCTAAGTCCCAGTCTCTTCCGCTGCCCATTCAGGCCTCTCATTCGGGTGAAAGAGATGTCGAACCCATGCAGGTGGGACACACGAGGCTCACCCCAGAGGAGAGACAAAGACGTTTTCTAAGCAAATTATGCATATACTGTGGTGAGAGTGGACACTTCATCGCTTCCTGCCCGGCTAAATCAAAAGCCTGGGCCCGCCAGAGGATCTGAGGAGTCTGGCGGGCCAAATTAACACTAAGAAATCTCCTCGACTGTTACTTCCTGCCACGTTGTTTTGTGCTAACCAAAGCCTTTCTTTTTCTGCATTCATCGACTCAGGCTGTGAACGGAACTTAATCGATTCTAACCTCGTCCAACAACTCCAAATTGAAACCATTCCTCTGACTCAGCCTCTTAGTGTTTCTGCTATTGACGGAAAGAGGCTTCACCAAGTTACCCATCAAACTCAGCCCCTCGAGCTACTTCTGTCAGGTAACCACCGAGAAACAATAACATTTTTTGTTTTTCCTTCTGCATGTTCCCCTCTGGTGCTTGGTTTCGAGTGGTTGGAGAAACATAATCCTCACATTAATTGGACAGAGCGTCACCTGGAATCGTGGTCCATCTCATGCCACGAAACATGCCTCCGTTCAGCTGCCCCCTTGGTGGGGTCTCCTAGAGGTGGGGGGGAGATGGACTCTCCTGACCTTTCTTCTGTTCCTTCCGAGTACCATGACCTAGCTCCTGTCTTCAGTAAGGTCAGTGCGACGTCCCTACCTCCACACAGGCCATATGACTGCGCCATTGAACTTTTACCTGGCGCACCACTACCTAGCAGCAGATTGTATAATATCTCCAAGCCTGAAAGAGAAACCATGGAAAAATACATTAATGAATCATTAGCTGCAGGAATAATCCGCCCATCTTCCTCTCCTTTGGGCGCCGGATTCTTCTTCGTTGGAAAGAAAGACGGCTCTCTGAGACCATGTATTGATTACCGAGGTTTGAACCAGATCACAATAAAGAACAAATACCCACTTCCTCTACTCGCCTCTGCATTCGAGCCTGTTCAAGGAGCCACAGTTTTCTCTAAATTGGATTTAAGGAACGCATATCATCTTCTTAGGATCCGAGAAGGAGATGAATGGAAAACAGCCTTGAAGACTCCATTGGGCCAATTTGAGTATTTGGTAATGCCTTTTGGTCTAACTAATGCTCCAGCATGCTTCCAGGCCCTTGTAAATGATGTTCTCAGAGACTTTTTAAATGTGTTTGTCTCCGTTTACATTGACGACATACTCATTTACTCCAAGAACCTCGATGAACATAAGAAACATGTCCGCCTTGTTTTACAGAGACTGCTGGAGAACAAGCTGTTCGTAAAGGCCGAGAAGTGCGTATTTCACCAGTCTTCAGTCACCTTTTTGGGGTTTGTGCTCGAGGGCGGCCAGGTAAAACCATTTGAGGACAAGATAAAGGCAGTTTTAGACTGGCCAGTTCCAGAGAACCACAAGCAGCTACAGAGATTTCTAGGCTTTGCAAACTTTTATCGTCGGTTCATCAGGAACTATAGCCAGACCGCCCTTCCATTAACTTCCCTGACCTCTGTCAAACGCATTTTTCAGTGGACTCCTGAGGCGCAGGCTGCTTTTGATAAATTAAAATCTTTATTTTCCAGAGCACCTGTACTTATGCAGCCTGACCCTGCTAAACAGTTTATTCTTGAGGTGGATGCTTCAGATTCTGGAGTTGGAGCAGTCCTTTCCCAGAAACTTGATTCGGATCAAAAGATCCACCCTTGTGCATTCTTCTCCCGTAGACTTTCTTCCGCTGAGCAGAATTACGATGTAGGAGACCGAGAGCTGTTGGCCATCAAGCTAGCATTGGAGGAATGGAGACATTGGCTGGAGGGAGCTGAGCATCCGGTTCTTGTTTGGACTGACCACAAGAACCTAGCCTACATCCAGTCAACCAAGCAAGCCAATCCTCGCCAATCCAGATGGTCCATTTTCTTCTCACGGTTTAACCTCATCATCTCCTACAGACCCGGATCCAAGAATGTCAAACCCGATTCTCTCTCTCGTCTTTACTCCGTCGATCATCCCGAGACACCTGAACCTGTCCTTCCGGCTTCCTGTACAGTCGGTGTTGTTAACTGGGAGATCACTGACCTGATCAACTCCGCCCTGGCTACTGAACCTGATCCAGGTAACGGTCCAACTAACCGAACCTATGTACCATCGTCCGTCAGGTCCCGTCTCATCCAATGGATGCATGCCGCCAAGTTTTCTGCTCATCCAGGGGTCAGCAGAACAATTGCTTTAATCTCAAGACGCTTCTGGTGGCCCACCCTCCATAGAGATGTCAAGGAGTATGTGTTGGCCTGCTCCACATGTGCCCGTAATAAGGCCTCACACCAACCTCCTTCTGGTCTGCTTCAGCCGCTTCCAGTGCCCTCGCGCCCTTGGTCCCATATCGCCATTGACTTTGTCACCGGCCTCCCAGTTTCTCGAGGTATGTCCACCATTTTCACCATTGTAGACCGTTTCTCGAAGGCCTGCCATCTTATACCCCTTAGGAAACTTCCCACGGCCTTCCAGACAGCCCAGCTCCTCATCAAACATGTATTCCGGTTACACGGCATTCCCCAAGAGATCCTCTCGGACCGAGGTCCTCAGTTCATTTCCCAGGTTTGGAAGGCTTTCTGTTCTGCTCTCGGCTGTAAACCCTCTCTGACCTCTGGTTACCATCCTCAATCAAACGGACAAACAGAGAGGATGAACCAGCAGCTGGAATCAACCCTTCGTTGTCTCACCTCTACCAATCCCGTGGACTGGAGCCAATTTCTCCCCTGGATAGAATACGCGCACAACTCCCTCAGATCTGCTTCCACTGGTCAATCTCCCTTCCAGGTTAGTCTCGGCTATCAACCACCACTTTTCCCCGCAGACGAGAGAGAGATTTCGGTCCAGTCAGTTAACCAACACATCCGCCGCTGTCAGAAAATCTGGAGAGAAACCATCGCCACCCTAACAGATCTTCAGAGACCAACAAACGCTTCGCCGACTCCAGGAGACGTCCCGCCCCCGAGTACACTGAGGGCCAAGAGGTATGGCTGTCCACGCTGTCCCGAAAACTCTCGCCTAGATTCATAGGCCCCTACAAGATCTCCTGAGTCATCAGCCCATCTGCCGTCCGTCTCCAACTGCCTCAGTCTCTCCGGATTCATCCAACCTTCCACGTGTCACAAGTCAAACCTGTCATCTCTAGTTCCCTGTGCCCACCTTCCGACTCCCCACCACCCGCCCCGGAGGTCGATGGTCATCCAGCCTTCACAGTTCGACGCATCGCGGACTCCCGTCGACGAGGTCGGGGATGGCAGTACCTCGTCGACTGGGAGGGCTACGGACCGGAGGATCGCCAGTGGGTTCCGGGCTCGTACATCCTCGATCCTGCCCTTATCGAGGAGTACGAGCGTTCCTGCCCTTCGACCTCTTCCGGACCGCCAAGGGGCGGTCATTGAGGGGGGGGTACTGTTGGGAGCTGGAGAAGTTCCACCTTCTCCAGCAGAGTCCGCCGTGGATCCTTCTGAGGGAGCCTCCTGCACAGCTGCAGCCCATCAAGATCATCAGAGGATCCACTATATAAGCTGTCTTCAGACCTTGCCTCAACGCCGCAGTGTTGATCCAGTTGGTCAGCGCCTAAGCCTAGATTCTCTGAGAAACTTTGTGACTTTGTATCCAGCCTGGATTCTAATCGTTGTCTCTGTCTTCCAGGAAACCTGTGTCTCCTTCGTGAAGCTCAGGAAGAGCTAACCTGCCGAGCCGACCCTCTGAGCCAAACCTGAAGAATCATAGAGAACTTCCATGCAGCTCAGGACAAGAGCTGGAAACCCCTAAGCCAAGGTCTGTTCATTATAAGACGTGACGCTGAAGCAGCAAGCGGACTCTGCTGATGAACTCCTCTCCAGATCCAACAGTGACTCTCCCAAAGCTAACCACAAGAACCCTCAAGGTACAATCAGTTATCTTCAAGAAAATCAAGCTTCAGCTTGCAACGCTAAGTGAACTGTCTCCCACGCAGACTCCGGTGAACCAGTGTCCAGGCCCGAGCCAGAACCAGTACATTCTGTGTGTTTGCACTCAAATAAACTTATTGAACTTTTATCCTTGTGTCCATCAGTGGTGTTCTGCATACTTGGGTCGCTCTTACTGAACCCATCATGACAGAGTCTTGTACCTGTGTATACAGACAGTCCACAGCTGTCTTCAAATTTATGGGATGTATCCTCCAAAGGCCAGATTCGAAGGTCGATTATGTCATAGAGTGGCGCCGAGGTCTGGTCAGGTTCCAAGAATCCTTGTTAGGCAGCCTACAAATGCGTCCTTCTTTTTAACGATCCAGTGTACCTCATCTAGTTATCCCAGGATTCATTGTGAGACCAAGCAAGCCGGCTGCTCCATGATCAGAGGAAAAAGTTATTTGGCCCCAAACAGTGGTGACTATTTGAATTTCAGTTTAATATAATACAAGTATGTGAATATTTCCATCTGAAATGAATGAAAATAGTTGTTTTAATGGTTAATGAATCAAATATGTGGTGCGTAATATTTGTTTTATATAAAGGTTTTTATCTGTTACTGTGTAAATAGTTTGTTTAAGGACAGATTGTAATATATCTGCAGTGTGGGGATTATAAATCTGATTTTTATTTTTTAATTGCTATTTTGCTTAACTAAATATTTTGTTACCATTTTATAAATCAAGTCTTCAATTGTTTATATTCCATTCGTCCATAAGGTTCCACAGATTAAAAGTAATCCAGAATATTCATAATAGAAAATATTCCATGAGGAGAAAATTGCCACATAACGTCCAGTTTTTGACATCAGAAAAGTTAGCTGGTGTCAACTGTCTCACGGTCCCTGGGCGACAGAGCGTATGGCGGTAAAGGCTACACCTGTTTGAATTCACAGCCAAAACACTTCCAGCTGATGTCTTGGCTTTTCCAGGCCTTTTTCGTCCACCCTTTCTGTGTTTGTTCAATACTTTTCCCTGTGTCATTAACATTATAATACATATTGTAATTTTCAAGCATGTCATTAGCACTTTTGGAAAAGTGTTGAAGTTTGTGTTGTGTTAAAAACTTATTTTTACTGTACATACTAGAGCTAGAGAGTTAGTTGTGTGTTATTAACAGAGTGTGACCAACAGTAAACCAGGTGATGGTGGTGGAACAGATGCCAACGAATGCTCCTGGAAATATGCAATGCCCACATTGCAACATCAGTGTTGTGACCATAATCCAGCCCATAATTGGCATTTACACCTGGATGATTGCTGTATTGCTTTTTTTTCTTGGGTAAGTAACAACTTTATCACGAAAATACACATTAACATGTAATAGAATACAATTTTAAAACTGAGACTCCACATGAACTTGGATACAATGTTAAACATAGTAATAATTCAAACCAGAAAATTCCCCAAGGAAATTTTGGAGGTGCCTGCCACTTGGTGCGTATTGGTGTGTGTGTAATATTTGGAGTGGCACTTAAAGCTTAATGGTGCTAGTTGGGCTCAGCTTACATTAACATATGTGACCATACCAGGTGGCAAATAGCTTGTTAATGGTTGATGGCGACTGGTATCATCATACCGAGTGGTGACTTGCGTCGCCTTACCTACTGAAGACTGACTTCACAACTCCTTTTGGCGAGTGGCATCGCCACACCTATTGAGCGACTGATGTTGCAACTGATGTCACAACAGCTAGCGGCGGTTGGCCACCTACTGGTGACTGGAGTCGCCAGACCTAATCACGTCTGGGTTATTGATAAAGATCCCTGTAGTGAAATAAATTGCTGAGTATATTATATAGGCTTTTATTTTGTAGAAGACCTATTGGGTCTCATGGCTCAATGAGTTACTCTGTATTATGAAGACTCTTTTATTTTGTAGAGTCCCTCTTGTCTTATTTTGAAAGTCTAGCAGGGCTCCTTGTTAAAGAAAAGGTCATGACCAGCAGACAGATAGAATCTATTTACAAATGTTAAATATTATGTTAATATATGCTTCATCACAGTGACAATGGGAGGCTTTGAATTTAAACATTTCAGTGGGGGGCATTTTGAAAAGGCTAATATAGTCTAATTTATAGAAACTGTTTGAGTTTGCGTCATAATGTTAAGCCATATACTGCAATCTGTGTATAATTTAGAAGTTTTATTTTGTAGAGTCCCTGGATTCTTACTTTGAAAGCCTAGCAAGGGTGTGCTATAAGACACTTCACGATGTGAAAGGACATCCAGGCTGTTACTGCTTGTTGCTTATATATCTTGGTCAGGACAAAGGCTGCTACAACTTTTCCAATGGTCTGAGAGTCTGCAAGAATAAAACTTCAAACAGTTCGCACCAGGCTGGGAAAATAGATGCAGACTTGCTCCGATGCACTACTGCAGGCTCCAAGCTGGATGCTTCAAAGCCAAACCCAGTTCTCAATCTGCCACGTTAGGGGGCTCTTTCCATGAAGTAATGCAAAGAACCATGTTCAAACCAACTCTGTCTTAATCTGAGACAAATTACAGTCCAGGGTGTACCTTAGCTGGTCTGAGCAAAACTGTCCCAAGCACCTTGGGTGGGGGAATCCTGAAGACGCTACATAAGGGTTACTTTGGGGTTGTAAAAACTAACCATTGATGCAGGGGATCTGGTCAGGTGGCCATACATTGGCAGGGATGTGGAGCTTGTCTCCCTAGTGGTAAGACTCCAGCTGTCATTGGGTAAAACACAGGGCAGATTAACTGTCAAAGTCTTGAGCTATTTGTTTTTTGTTAGGACTTTGATTAGTGATTTTCTTTTTTATGGTGCCCATAAGGTCTTGCAATATTAGTTATGACATGATTATTATCGGATACATAAGATGACAATATGATTATATGACTGCTCATTAAGAGACCCCAGCTGTATTGTATTGTAAAGTTTGCAGATGACAGCGCAGTAGTTAGGCATGTCATAAACAATAATGAGTCCAAATACAGAGACAAGGTTGTACACCTGGTGCAGTGGTACGTCTCCATCAGTGTGAAGAAATCTAAGAAGGTGGTGGATGTCAAAACGGACAAAGATGCTCTTTATCCCCTGTACCTGAAAGAGGGAAGCTGTGGAGGTGATCTTCAGCTACAGGTATCTGGATGTGCATTTGTCCAGTGACTTCACCAGGAGTGCCAACACTTTCTCTCTGGTTAGCAAAGCCCACCAGCATCTCTACTTTCTTAGGGCGTTGGGGAGAGCAGATCCGGGAGCTCAGTCGTAAGGAACCTTTACCACTGTGAGGTGGAGAGTGTTCTAATTACCTGGATAACTGTGTGGTACCGTAGCTCCTCTGTTGATGAGAGGATGGCTCTGCAGAAGGCCGTTAAGGCAGCTCAGAGGTCTGGTCACTTTTTTGTTAGGATTTTTCACTCCATATCTTGTACCGTATTTTCACGACTATAAGGCGCACTTAAACGTCTTTTTTTTCCCTCAAAATGTGCGGTGCGCCCTATGGTGCGGTGCGCCTTATGTGTGTTGTAACTGCGACTTTTGAGACCACCTCATTGAGGAGATGATGAAAGAGTGGCTGAATGTAAGGAGACCAGGTGTTTTTTTTCCACCCCTCACCATCGCTGTTAACAGGGGCGTTGCTAGGCACAAAGCTTTACTGGGGCACTGACCCCCTACCGCATATGCCCCTCCTTCGATACACAAATACAGACAAGCACACTGCCCAACCCTGATACATTCCAACCAAAATTACCAGTTGAGATATTAATAAGTGTAAGAGCATATTTGTTTTAACAAACATGAACATTTTCAACATTGCAGCTATAAAAAATAAGACATTACCAACTTTAAAAATAAAACGTTTCCTTATACACATTCTGAAGTAATCATTAATTTCTAGGTTTCAGAGTTTTAGTTCAGGGGAAATGTTAACTCATCCTGAACTAAGTTCAGGATGAGTTAATTTTTTGAGCATTAAAGTGTACCTCCTATTTTTCATTTTTGCAAAGCGGTCAATCACTTGACTGTGACTCAGCTTAGAAAGTTCTTCCTTTTCAACTGATAAAATAGCAAGATGATGGAGCCTGTCTTGTCCCATTGAGTACCTTGGCCAAATGTGGAGCTTTCTCAACACACTGAATGACCTTTCATAACTACAGCTTTTGACTGGGATTGTGAGGGAGATCTGGATGACCTGTGTTAGTCTTGGGAATATGATGTTATCAAGCAAGTTGAAAACACACTGCATATCCTTGATGACAAGGCTTTCTTTTTCAATCATAAAAAGCTTTCAAACCATTTTGAATTAAACAAACGTTTTTTTACTCCTAATTTGTGCTGGGGATAGTGGGACAACTTCACTTGTTTAGGACCATCATGCTTTCCCCCTAAGTCACTAATGTCCCCTTCTTATTTGTGGAGGCTGGTTGTTGCTCCCTCATCACCTTCATGGTCCTGTATCTCCTGTCTCTCACCTGTCCCTTGCCTGTCAGTCTCGCCTCATCCTCCCTTTCCTACTCCAGCACCGTCATTCTCATCCTCTACAGCAAACATTAAAAAAACGTAAATCTATAATTATGTAAATATCAATCATATTGCTTATAACGTCCCTAATGTAACTGCTTAGCTTAAATCACTAATTCATCACGGGACCTTACCTCCCTCTCTCTCATCTTGTTTTACCGCTTCCCTGTCTCTGCTTCGTGTGAGGAATTTCCTGATATCCATCTACAAACCAATGCAGTCATTTTCAGTTAGTAGCCTATAAATCATGTGGTTTCACTGGGAAAATATTAAAATTGACAGGTAAGAAACATTACCAGAACTAAAAATGCGTCGCGGCCGCACAGTGTCCCATCCAAAACAGTTGAGAGCAGTGTGTTAGTTTACCTGCAGTTCATGCAGTGACATGCGCTGACGTGGGGGCGCTAATACATCCTCAATTTGGAGTTAACAACACACTTGCTGCGCGTTGGAATTATCTAAATTGATGCATTAAAAAATGTAATACTGTTGCAAATATTCATGAGATTTATACTGGGGCACAGCTCATTTATACTGGGGCACGTGCCCCAGTAAATGGGGTCTGGCGACGCCGATGGCTGTTAATATGTAACTCCATGCGTGCCCATCTCACAGCTGATGTGAAAAACATGGGGAAACAAATTAACGCTGCTCGACATCGGTGTGAACCGGACCCAGCAGGTGCAGCAGAAGCAGCGAGTTTACATGCAAAGTCAATGGTTGACGCGCATATAGGTGCAGCAAAAGGTCCCACAGCGCATTTTGGTGCAGCACGCCGGGAGCGTTTAAGCATCTGAAGCGCCGCGCTTCTGCTGCTCGAGATGGAAAAATTGAAGTTTTGCTGCTGGACGCGCCGCATCAACCAATCAGAGAAGCTGATCTGGGAGCTGCCAGCGAGACAGACAGCGCTCTGATGACATATGATATTAACGCAAATGGAAAAGGCTGGATGGATGCGTGGCTGAGGCAGGTGTATGTGAGAAGACTAGGTGGTTTTTCCACGCATCACCATCGCTGCGTGCCCATCTCACAGCCGATGTGAAAAAAAGGTGAATCAAATGAACGCTGTGCTCGCCGTTATCCCGGGGGGTCTGACAAAGGAGCTTCAACCGCTCGACATCGGTGTGAAGCAGCCGTTCGAAGTAAGGCTGCAAGCGGCGTGGGAGCGATGGATGACCGACGGAGACCACAGTTTCAGGATAAGAAGGCAGCGCCGGGCAGATTACGCCACAGTTTGCGGATGGATTGTAGATGCTTGGACTAAAGTGTCTGCTGGCTCTGTTGTTCAAGCTTTCGCAAAAGCCGGCATTATTTCTGAGGAGCCGCGCTGTACGGAAAGTGACTGACAGCGAAGAAGGGGAAATTGGCATGTCTGATTTAGCGCAGCTCTTTTATTCAGAAACAGAGGATGATGACTTTGATGGGTTTGATTAATACTTTGTAATAAATACATGAATAAAGCACAATCATACTCAGTTTTGCTCCCGCTGTATTTTTCTCCCTGAAAACTTAATTCAACAGCATCCCCGGCGCGTCTCCTCCTCTTCATCGCGGTGGCTGGCAGGTGTTTTTTCATCTAAATAATCTAAATCTTGCAGCTATATTTGCTGTGATCAGTGGGAATAAAGTAGTTTTAATATGTTTTTAAGTGAGAAAGTCCACCTGAAAACTTAATAATTGCAGTCAGTTCATCCAGATTATCTATTTCTGTCGGAGGCGCTCAGACCCCCACATACCAGCAGTGCGCTGACAGCAGAAATCTCTTCATCAGCAGCCTGTAGGCTGGGCAGCCTGGGGTTCACCGCGGCTGCTGGCAGGTGTTTTTCATCTAAATAATTTTAGCTGCAGGCACCAGGATACCGGCAATAAAAGCGAACATATTCTGTCAGCAGGTTTCAGGATTTTAAGTTAATTTAGGAGTGACCACAGCGCTGTGTCATCTGCGATGTGTCTGTCTCACGGCCAGCTGCCAGGTTTGATTAATACTTTGTAATAAATACATGAATAAAGCACAGTCATACTCAGTTTTGCCCCCGCTGTATTTTTAAATACGCAGTAGAGGTATTTAAAGGTAGTAGAGGACTTGTACCTGTATATAAAAAACGCGGCCTATAGTCCGGTGCGCCTTATGTGTGTGTTAAATACAGAAATGGGACACATAACTGAGAGTGCGCCTTTTAGTCCGGTGCGCCTTATGGTCGTGAAAATACGGTATTCAGTTTTCCAGTTTATTCTTGGGTCTTTGCACACTGAGTTTTCTTCCCTTAGTTCCAAACATGTTTGTTTCACCTGGTGGATAATTTGCAGAGATGGGAAGTAACGAAGTACAAATACTTCGTTACTGTACTCAAGTAGATTTTTATGATATTTTTACTTTACTTTACTGCTTATTTTTATGGTGACTTTTTACTTCTACTCCTTACATTTTTACACAAATATCTGTACTTTCTACTCCTTACATTTAAAAAAATTGGCTTGTTACTTTAGTTTCGAATCATTTCAATGGAGTTACCGTTATTATTTTTCACGTCATCAATACCAAATTTAATCTAATTGGATGGGAATCTACGTTGCATTTGCCGCACCACTACAAGATGAATCGACAGATTCGGCGGTATTCATTCACGGCAAATCATTGCAGCTTGGTGGCGGCGGCGTTAGCATAGTAGTATGGACGACGAGATGATTGAAAATGAACACAACGGAGATCTAGTGCTATTGGCAGACATCCATTTAAAATGTAGGCAACGGCATGAAAAAAGTGGTTTCTACTTTTACTTTTATACTTTAAGTAAATTTACAAGCCTGTACTTTGTTACTTTTACTTGAGTGAAGAAGTTTAATCAGTACTTCCACTTTTACCAGAGTATTTTTTAACAAAAGTATCTGTACTTTTACTCAAGTATGGAAAGTGAGTACTTTTGCCATCTCTAATAATTTGCAGGATATTTGTTTAGTTCCAGCCATGTTTTTGGTTTCACTGCCACCATATCAAGCATGATCAATTCCAACTGCTTAATGACAATGAGTTCTCCCTTTTTTAGCCTGCTATCTTTATCTTCATCTGGTTCATGTACTCCCTATGGATGGCTATAGTTTTTAATGCAAAGCCTGTCCATTCCTGTTTTTGTCATGATGTGCCACAAACACTTACTGAATTCTTTGTTTGTCTGTTCTGGTTCGTTCTCTGAATGACTTTTAATATTTCATATTTTGTCAAATGAAAACCACACACATCATTGTTTACAGTGCATAGATGTAATTTAAGAAAAATTGCAAGATTTTCTTTGTAGTGCTCACTCTAAATCCAAGTTGATGTTTTTTTAACACATTGATCAGGCTACCTAATTTCTTTATTATTTAGAGTTTTGATAATAAAAATGTGCATCATTGATCTCCACTGATTAGTTAGTAAAAAACAACATTGTTACTCTGTATTTGTATTTCACTTCATAACAAAAAACTACATCACCAGAGGTTCCTCTACAACATGCAGGAGTGGAAGAGAATATGTTTTTCAGATGTGTCAACACTGCCTCCCCCAGTCAGTTATAAGCCAATACACATAAACGATTAATTCATTTTCAACAGTATCTTACATGATTCTAATAACTTCTTGCCTGAACGGCTGTATAATTTTGCAGGTGCAAACAATATGTAAATAATCAATCAGCCTTCTTTGCATCACAATTTCTCTAATGTAAGGCCTGTTTTGTGTAATATTTTTTCATCCGTTCAAAAACAGTTAAAAAACATCTTGTTAACAGTTTCTAGAGAAATTATTTCCAAAATAAAGACCTGGTTGTTTTATACATTTCTTTTCATATTTTTTCCCACTGATTTTTTTGCATTTTATGTCTGTAACTCTTGCTCCCATTCTAACTTAACATTCACAGAAATCTATCTTTGTGACTTAGAAACATGTGATACAGCTGACTTAAAAGATTTTTGGATTTTGTAATAAGATTTTTTTGCCATATACCTAGAGTTGTACATCCATTTTTGTCTTTATTTTACTTTTTAAGGTTTCTTACTTGTAAATATTTACAGAAATTCATGATTCATGGAGTGTTATATATTTTTTATATGTTTTCAAAGGACTAATTCATAACTGTTTAACATTTGATTGTCATGGTTTTCTGAAGTTGTTTTACCCACATACAGAACACTCTCAGGAGCCAGGAGAAAGTTGAGCATTAAATCAGTTTATTTACACAGAATGTGCATATTGCAATTTGACTTCTGGGAACCAGGAATGGAAATGGCAGGGGTCTTTGGAGTTTATCCATCAGGGGTAAGGGTGAGTCCAGGAAATTCTCTGAGTCTTAGTACAGACTGAGTTTTGTTGTGGAAGTTAAGAATGCAGGTGAGCACAGAGGAGAGCGGATCAGGTTGAATGGAGCAGTGACTTTTAAGCTGCTCTTGGCTCTCAGCTGGGAAAAACACCAAAGGCTTTACCT